GTATTTACTACCATAAAAATCACCTTCGGCACTTCCCTACTTTCTCTTACAACTCTCTGAAACTCATTTTGTATGTATATTTACTTTTTGTAACGTTGACGCATGAAAAAATTAAAAAAAAAAACAAAATTTTGAAATATAAAAAAAAATCAATAGATAGATTCAAAATTTTACCCAACGAGTGTAATTCAAGGACTGTTTTAGATTGTTTAAATTCAATAGAGAACCTTCTTAAAAGAGAATATTCTTAAAAGATTCTGCGTCATGTACCTTTCCCAATCAGACTTCAAGAGTTAGAACTTAAACAGTTGTCAGAACTTGAGGAGGTTCATTTGTTTTTGGTAAATTGGAAATTCTCTGTTTGTAAAGTTAAGTAGAGTTTTATAATTAAAAAAAAAATTGTACGTGTTCGTCAGATAATGTGTTTTTTTTGTTTCGTTCGTATTTTGGTTGTAGCTGTTCTTCATATCTTTTGAAGTACTTATCCTTATCATTTTTATTCAATTAAAGTCACTCATTAACCAATTAAACGCCAAAGAAAAAATGCAGAAAAGAAGCTTTCGACAAAGCAGGGAGTATTGGAATTAAATTGAAATAATTCTTTTCCTCTCTAGCATCCTTTTTGACAATTAATTGCTGAGTATTACTGAGCATCAAAGCTCATATGGCTCGCATTTCTCGTTCTGATAAACCATTCGAAGAACTCATTAATCAATCAATCAATAATTTTAATAATTCGAGATAATTCTGAAAATATCTCCGTATTGATTTTAGGACAGTGATTAGAAAAATACTGTTTTCCTACGCACTGTGGGCAGCTAAAAGCCGGCATCCACACTTCGGTAATAACTGTAGTGACTTAGGGACGATTACAATGGGTGTTTTTTTTCGATGTATATAACTTTAAGTTGGCATTACCGTTCAAGAGGGCGACCGATTTAACAGCTGTCGAGTGATTTATTCTCAGTTTGGTTTGGCAATTCATCATGAATAGACTCACGCCTGAACAACGCTTGCAAATAGTGCAATTTTATTTAAAAAATAACGGTTCTGTGCGGAATACGTATCGCGCACACGAGTAAAGGCTTATATTTTAAATATTTCTTCTACAAGGTTTTTCTTACTAGAGACACTCCAGAATTGAAACAACGTTTTTTTCGATATTTCGTTCTAAAAACGAAAAAACAAAAATAGTCTTGCAATTTTGAGTTTAAACGTGTGTATAAAATGAAAACAATATGTAAAAAATCCAAGATAGCTATGACGTTTCTGTTCGTAACATTGTGCCGCAAAAGTCGCTACACTTTCAAACTGTCAAAAATGTACTGCACATGTGTTAGATATTTGTTTTTGCTTCGCAGAAAAGCTGGAAAAACTTTGTTGTTGTAATCCAGCTTAACTGTACCATTGTTATAGTATTTATTTATGGTTTGGTCTGTCCTATGATTATTTAAAAACTCCCAAATGGAACCAACCACCAAATTTGCATTTTTATCACGTTTTGTGTTCTTATTTCTGAAATAAAGCGATGTTGGTTGGGTCACGGTGGTGCTGGTGAAGGCGGTTCCGATATTTTCTCTTTTTTGTTAGTTTTCTTTATGGCGGTCTCTAAAAATGTTGGCAGCAATGGCCGATAGTACTGCGGTTGTCTCGGCGAGGTCATCGGATATTTTTTCCGTTTTTAATTAATCACGATAAGCCCGTTAATGTCACCGAAAAATGGAAAATTCAGGGTCGAATCGCCAATAAAACGGCAGTTCGCACCTCGGGCGCGTAACGACGTTACATTATCTGTCCTATATACAAGGCCGACGGCGTTCTGCCCTTTTTCCGCCGCTGTTTATTAGCCGTGTGCATTTCTATGCTAATGAATTGTTTTGACATGTTAATCGAGTTGGTTTCGGCACCAGGCGCTACGATAAATTTAATATACCGGTCGAACAAAAAAAAAGTTACTGTTGGTGGGTAAATCTGTAAATATTGAGACGTTTAATATTGACGTCGCTCGGCGTTGCAAAATGCTATTATAGAATGAAATTATATCTAGGTTATATCTTAACCGATCTAAACTATAATGATTCATTTCTTTAAAAACAAAAAAAATCTGACTACTAAATCATTAAACTTAATACACGCATTATTTAAATAATCATGTTAATTTATTTTATTTATAGAATAACTTGGCGATAGAAGCAAACTTTATTTTGAGGGATCTTGCATTATTATAACCATATGCCATCATATGAAATTATTAAGCAGTATTCTACATACACCAAATTGTCATAGTTAAAAATAATCGTTAGTTTAAAGAAGAATAAACGATTTCACAAAGTATTCGTTAACCAATTATTAATAACAAAAAAAAAACCAAACGTACCACACGTAGGTTTTTAATTTAATATTTATTTCATCAAAAAACAATATTATTAAAGTATAAATTTTTATAAGGAAATAAAAAAATGTGGCGGCTTGAGTTTTACAGTAAATAGATTCCACTGTTTTAACCTTGGTCCGAGTAACAGTGCCTTAGATTTTGAAAGTCCGAAGTTTCTAACCAAGATCCTTTAAGTCGCCTTGTTCAAGTAAATGAGGTTCTGTAGATGGACATAAAGATCCAGATAAAGTGTATGAAGATGAAGATGTACTACCAGAAAGAAAACTCGATTGAGATTGTAGACCAGAAATATTTTTATTTTCAGCTTCCTCATTAACTGGTGGAACTGGAGGTGGAGTGTATTTATCACGAGGAATTGGTCTCTTTGCAGATAGGACGTTCAGATAAACAATCTTATCTCTATTTTTTTTCGAGAATCCTCGTGTAGATGTCATGCAGAAATAACAATCATTCTCATGATGTTGAGGCTCACTCCAAATCATTGGACTTGAAAACGGCATGGATTTGTGGCTTTCTTCAAGCCAACCTGTCAACGTTCTTGAGCAGCTATCGCAGCATACTTTTGGCAACCAACTTTTATCTCGCTCATCGATAGCAAATCCAAAATGTAGCTTATAAGCTGTTTTAACCAGATCGGTCATGACATGTCGCTGTGTTTTTATTATGTATTCCCCACAAATGTAGCAAAAACAATCTGAGGAATTTTCACAAGTCCGTGGCATTTTGTAACCTAAAATCACATAAAATTATTTTTAAAACAACTTTCAAACTTCTATTTTATATTTATTGACATCAAATACTTAAATCCATGGACTTTATGCAAAACTTACCAAAATATTTGATATAAAAGGTAAATAATTAAACGACAAGTTTTCAATGAACTGTTGTAGTGTCACAATGAATACTGCCCATGCGCGTATTTACTACCATAAAAATCACCTTCGGCACTTCCCTCCTTTCTCTTACAACTCTCTGAAGCTCATTTTGTATGTATATTTACGTTTTGTAACGTTGACCAATGAAAAAATTGAAAAAAAATTTTTTTTTGAAATATAAAAAAAAATCATATCGATGATCAAACTCAAATTTCAATTCAAAACATTTGAATCATTATATTTATCATAAAATTTTTTAAAGGAGGATTTCATTGCCAACCAATCAATCTTTTTGCCATAAAATGTCTGAAAAAAACCTAATTTTTCCACCAACTAAATAAAGGAAGCAAAAACCTTGGTTGGTTCAGTTCAAATAGTTAAATCCTACCAAAATGTCTTACACTTACAAATATGCAGTGGGTCCCGCATAAGAACCTTTGTAAAATCTTTGTAACTTTTTTTTTTGTTGGATGGGTCTCTGGAAGATGCACTAAAACCTTGTTTTGTCTATTGCTTCAACTTAAAGTCATATCCCACTGAGAATATTTAATAAAAAAGAGAGAAGTACTATTACGGAATTAAAAAAATAATAAATTCTTATTCAGGAACACTTAGAACTATACCAATTTTTATAGTTTCAATACAGGATGTTTGAAATATCGTTTACGCTGTACATCGTAGTAAACTCTTTGATTGCGGTTTAATTTTGATAATTCCATCAAAACCTTATGTTTCTTATTACATTAACCTGAAGTCATGGCTGGGACTATTTTTGATATCAAATATCAAGAAGGGCTGTTAGGGATTTATTTAAGGAAAAATTGTCTACGAATTCTTATACAGGGTGCTCGAATTATCCCTGGCGCATCCTAAAATGTTTGTTTATGACTCAACATTGATAATTCTTTTTTGTTGAATAGATTTCACTGAAAGACACTAGCGACTTTCGTAAAATTAACTAGGATTAGATATGAACTAAACAGAATTTACAAGGCTGTATTATTTTAATTAAAAAGCATTGTTAATTCTCACCTAATACTGAAAATAATAAATAAGATGATACTGAATAATAAGTGTTCCTTAAGAACTCTTTATCATTATTTTTAAAATTTGTATAATTAAAATTTGTAAGATCTTGAAATCAGATGCAAAATAATCGTTTTTTTCAAGGGTTGTAATATTTAATTATTGTAAAACATAGTCCTGAATACTATCTATGCTATACGAAAAAACCGTTTCATTCCTCTTTAGTAAGATGTATCCAGCAAAAAAGAATTACCAAAATTGAGCCATAAAAATCATTCTACAGGAGCGATGCTTAAGCGAACTTCATGGAAAATAGTATAGTTTGGGTTTTATGTGGTCCTGAATAACAATTCGTTGGCGCTTTATTCTTAAAGAAATCTCTCATAGCCCTTCTCGATATTCGACATCATGATTTTAGGTTGATGCCAAAAGAAACATAACGTTTTAGTGCAGTACAGAAATTGCTGTAGTTGGGATCTAAGTTTTGGTTTTGCTTAATTTGAACTTTAACTTGAAGCAATAAGCAAAACATCTATCCAAAGAAAGAATGTATCCAAATCGATCCATACACAAAGATTTCACAAGGGTGTACAGTTCTTAAGTTTGTAGCTCAGATATGATCGTTGATTCCAAATTCTTCGTTGCTGCGATTGGGGTGGAGGACGTAGAAAAAAGCTAAATAATAAGGTCTGGTTTTTTTCTAGGCTACGGTCATCTGACCCCGAAAACGACATGGGGCAAAGTGGTGACCATTTTCTACGCCATCCTCGGCATCCCTTTGATGTTACTCTGTCTGTCCAACATAGGGGACGTTATGGCGACTTCTTTCCGTTTCCTGTACTGGCGCGTGTGCTGCTACGTATGCCAGAAGAAGCCGAAGAAGATGAAACGTGCCAGATCTATTAGGGTGCAGCCCAACAGAAGCGAGTATGTCTCAAGTCCGTGGCAGAAATGAAAACTGACTTCAGAAATGTGATATAATTTTGGACCTTATTGCTGCTGTGTTTCAGTAACAGATTCGTGCGGTCCAAGTCCGCGTCCATACGAAGGTCGATGAGGACGTCCGGTAAGTCTACAGACAGCGGGTACGGGATCTCGGAGACGGGGCCAGGCTATCATTCTGATACTGACTTGAGGTGAGTTCTCTAAAAAGGCAATCCTGAACTGATTAACTAATTAAAAATAACAGTCTTAAACCAACTAACAAAAAAAAACTGGCCTCTTGGCCTCTTTCGGGCGAAGACAGATAGATGGCTTTGAAACTGACTATTGAGGAAATTATCATTGCCTTGGAAATCTTGTAAAAATTAAGACTAACATAACCAGAGTGGTCTAAAAGCTTACTATAAACCGGAATTTAAAAACTAATGGTTATACTGGGTTGCCACAGTCGACCAAAAATCTGCTAGACTTGATCGCTTACACACTTCTGTGGTCACACCATTCCCTCAAGCGTGGGAGCAGTTCAGCTAAAATTCGTTGCCTACTTCACTTTTCAGCTTATAATTTTAGCTCTTTTATTTGCACCATCATCCCGTGTTGAATATTCAGTTTTCGCCTTAATTGGCAACCCAATTATATTTAATCCGACTCGAAACATCGAAAATCGCAATAATTTATCCGTAATTTATATTCATACATCACTAATCCGTTCATAACCGCTTGATAAATCGTTTGTATTTCCACTCTGTCGAAATGCAGCGAAAAACAGATCCGGATTTCGCGTTTAGTAATGCGCCTCATCCGGCTCGAAGGACCAGATACTGTACATTTCAGGTACGGCAACGACACGCGTGAAAATAAAGCCCTGCACAAGAGAGGTTCGAGTTTGCCGTCTCGACCCAATAGGTTCTCGACCAATAGACGATCGCAGACGGCAAACCACGAGGTTCCTCTCCCGGGCGACTTTCGGAGCGCCAGGGGCGGCTCGTTGGATAATAAAAAGTCGGGCAAGGCGCCGCGGGACGCTGCTATCGACCTGGATCCCGCCCTGTTGGACAACACGCCGGTGCTGTGCAACAAATACGTCGTAGGCAATGATGTCATCGCCAACAACGTGCCAGGTAAATGCTCGTTTCTTAGTTTTTAATGATTCCCGTCATTGTTTGAGCTTGTAAAGTGGTTCTGAAGCCTAAAGAAAATGTTTGATACTTTTTGCACACACAAAGAGTTGAATTCATGCTTCACCCGAGATGGGAGAATCCAATATGGCGTTACTTCTAGACCACAATGTCTGGACTAAGCCTCCGGTAAAAATTATGAACTAAAATCCATGAATTTCTTTGGCTGCAGAATGGGGTGTAAAGAGAAACTTTTTATGGAAAAAATGTTTTATTTGAGATACCTTTACTACCCTTATAAGAACATTGCTGATATCCTTTGCATTTTAAAAATGGGTGCATTAATAATACGCGGGTCCCATTTCGGTCATTGGTAGAATCCAATAAATTTTATTTTCATGTAGCCGGTTCCATATCAAACAGAATCATCTAAATATTTTCGCCGGTCAGGCAATCCTTTGTCCGTAGGTATCACCTTAAGGGCCGAAGAGGGTCAAGGCAAAAGACATCCTCAAGGTAAATAGGGTGTTTGTTCCTTTATGAATTTTTTAAATTATTTTTACTAGTAAAGATACCATTTTACAACAAAAAAGTGCAAATCACGTTTGCACGCAACTAACCCGTTCGGAACGTCATTTTGGGCGTTACTTATCGATTAACCACGTCGATCGGGCGTATTTTCGACTTGCTTTCGTTCCAAACAACGTTATTTTCACGTCACGTAAACGTAATTTCTGTCGTCAGGTCGGCGGGCGGTGTCCGTGCCGAAGACATCAAAATATTTGGAGATCCCCAGCATCGAGACACCAGATTACGACGTCTCGGACAGAGAAGACGAACATTCGCTGAAGAGCCGACCCAGAATCAAACCAAATTCTAGGTCACGTTCCAGAAGCCCCATGCGTAAGTGCTTCATTTGAAAAATAGGTCAATTTTACTCGTAACATTTCGTAACATTAGTTAACTGCATTCGCGTCTGTTAAAAAGACCAATTTCACTCGCAGCCATCTCGAGCCCGAAAATGATGACTCCATTGGGATACGGTCATCGGAACAAGTACCTCGACGACCCCGATTCGGACGACTACGATGACTACGAGTACTACGAGGCGCGAGGCAAACCGAAGAAGAAACACGTACCTATTTGGTTGTGCGTGCTCTTGGTGATCAGTTACATCTTGGCGGGGGCTTACCTCTTCAAAACATCCGAGCAATGGGATTATCTGGACGCTGCCTATTTTTGCTTTATCACATTGACGACAATAGGGTTTGGGGACCTGGTACCTGCCAAAGGGGTCAGCCAAGACGGGTACGATGCGACTATCAGTATCGCCCTCTGCTCGCTTTATCTTCTTTTTGGCATATCTCTGCTGGCGATGAGCTTCAATCTGGTGCAGGAAGAGGTCATCTCTAACGTGAAGAGTGTTGCTAAGACGCTGGGCATTATCAAGTCGGAGTCAGACGAGTCCGAAGACGAAGACTGACCAAGTTTCGCTGTTGTGTTAATAACATAATAAGAATAGTATTGACAATATTTGTGGTTTTCATTGCCTTGCAGACCGCCATTTGCAACACAATAGTGTTTTTTTGCAAATTTTATGCCTTAAAAATTAAGAAATCTCTTGGATCTCACTGGGCTTCACTTAAAAAAAAACAATATGATTTTTTAAATTTTATTTTTCTCGCCAAGTTAGGAACTACTCTGTATATAAGTTGTCTTATATGTGTTTTCCCAAACTTTTCACTCGTGCTGTGTAAAGTAGACAGTGCTTACGTACTTACGGGTTGCTGGATATAATACTGGTAATTCTCCAATTACTGACTACAAATCTAACTGATAATTAATTAAAATATAATTTGATTAATTTAATGTTCATTACTTATTTAATTGCAGTTTAATTGTTTTCTCAATATTTAATTAAATAAAAAATTTAGGTGATTACTTAATTGTTTTATTATCAATTATTTATTGAATAATTAATTGAACTGACGTGGCATTTACTTGATGAAAAATTGTCATGTCAATATATATATATATATATATATATATATATATATATATATATATATATATATATATATATATATATATATATATACATGAAAATCTGAACTTTTAGTTCTTATTTATATTGATTAAATTAAAGATTAATTATGAATCTTTGAATTATCCGCAAACACATTCAAATTTAAAAAAACGATTTAGATGAAAAAGGTATAGTATAACACACACATAAACTCTTGACTAAAGTGTCGTTTATCAAACTTGTTGCACAAAATACAATTATATTATGTATTATTGTATTATGGCAGGGTCATCCACGCAAAGCCTGATAAAAACTCGGTATTTCGGCTATAAAAATGTCAAATATGCTAAATTTTTGGAAAGGCGACATTTAGTTTTTTTAACGAATCCAGTGTATACGGGATGTGGAAATAATCAACAACACAACAGTAGATGGATAAAGGGACTTTTAGGCGATTCTAACCTCACTTTTTATTAAACAAAGCGTTGGGACACGCGGTCGAATAACAAAATCACGCCGTGTTTTGCACTTCGAAACTCGATGGCTGGGTAACATCATCGCTTCCTCCCTGTCACCTCGACACCGCGCCCCGCAACGCGCCATCTGGTGGGGGGAGAGGGGGTCGCACACACATTACCGCCGCGTTAGATATCCCTCCCCCCCAGATGGCGCGTTGCGGGGACGCAAAGTCGAGGTGACAGGGAGGAAGCGATGATGTTACCCAGCCGTCGAGTTTCGAAGTGCAAAACACGGCGTGATTTTGTTATTCGACCGCGTGTCCCAACGCTTTGTTTAATAAAAAGTGAGGTTAGAATCGCCTAAAAGTCCCTTTATCCATCTACTCACAACAATACTTATCATTACATTTTTTAAAATGTAAATTGAGCTCCAGAAGTCGGCATCAGTTTTCGCCTATCTCACTTAAAAGTCATCCTGTATAGACTCCTGACAAGTTTCACTATAGGTGAATGTTTTTCATGGATATTGGTCGTCAATAATTGGTAAATTATAGATTTAATACTATATGGCGGATCTTGCGGATCTTGTCTTGTTGTGGAGTGGAACATCGGTTATCCCACTCCGCCTCGCGATATAAATTAAAGAATTTATTGGTAATAAATCTTTTATTATATACCGATTTATTATTGTGGAGTTATAAATACTGCAAATTTTAATTTTTACAATGTAATTCAATAATAAGAACATCCTACTCTCCCAATTATATAAATAAGCAAGAGAAAAATAAGAATCCACATTTAACATTGTAAAATTTGCGTCATTTTTTTATCACGCCGAGCTCTGTCCAGTTTAGATCAGAGAGTTCTAATCTATCGAGTTTTTTATGCGCATAATCGTTATATTAAAATGAATAAATAAAATAACAATGACAAAAGAAGTGCTTATGAAGGTATTTTCTTGAAAAGCAATTTCTCCTAGTCTGTAACCCTTCAAACAAATTTATGTCAATCTCTAACTGGTATAAAAAGCAAGATCACTTTCACCTCTTGTTAGGTTGGAGCTCCCTTTCATAGGTACAGTTCTTCCAACTATATACCGTTTTTACGGTATGGTCCGGTATTTAGCTTTGGTAAATTTTTATGAAAGTCTAACCGCAGACCTAGTCGCTCTTTGTAATCTTCAATAATTAGATTCGTAACTCCACAATGACGTTCCAGAACCGTACTTCGGCACTTCGTGCATACAAATGCTGAGACCTGACGGATTTGTGTAGAGTTTTATCGGTGAGATTCCTCGATTATGATTAGTCGATGCAATGAAAATCCATTCTTACTTTGAAATGTTTATTATAAATATAAATCAACGAGTAAATTTAGCTATAAAACAATGTAACAACATTTATAAAAAAAAATATTCTACGTCACTGAACTTGTCGACTTTTGCAAACATTTGCTGCTTCGATAACATATTCTACACGTTTTTTCCAGACAGAAGCAGATGTTTTTTCTACTTCAATTCTAATTAAATCTATTGCCCCAGAACTAAATTTCCGCGAGGTGTTGTTTCTTCCTAAACTGTGTTCAGCTGTCTTCATATCAGTTCTCCCAAGTTGTCGATTTCAGAAATTATAATTTTGGTAGCAACCGGCAAATGTGTCCGAGTCTTTGATCCATTTGAATTTGACATCGTCCACAATCTCAACTTCTGAACTGAATAATGTTAGTATTTGGTAATAAATAAGTTGTAACAAAATGTACCTCACACTGAGTCTTGAAAAACAGTTGAATGACAGTAAGAGTAACGACCATAAAAGGCTGTAAGAACGGTATACCTATTGTTAAACTTTACGTATTAATTGTTCATCATATCATCATGAAGGTTTGATCTAACCACTGAGAGCCAAAAAACCTCTCGGGAGAAGAACTACTATTATCAATATTCAGAAAGAATTTACTTTCCTGTCGAAAACAGTGTCAAAGTTAAAAAAAAAAGTCAATATCATAAAAGGTTGTAAAAATGGTATATCTTTTGGAGAACTTTATATATCTATATGTAGGTAAGTTAAATACCCGATTATCTACACGCCACAGAAAGAAAATATATGGATGAACGTCTAGTAGCCCATAGAATATTCGTCTTCGAATCCGATTCGGTCGTTTTCGCTTATGGCCGCGTCAAATAGACGATTAGACACGGAAATTGGGCGGAAAATTTGCCTCGATTATATTTTTAGTCCCGTTTCATTTTTTTTTTTTACAGCTAAGCGGCAAATGAACTTAGCTTACTTAGGCCCGTGGGTTGTGGTGGCGCATTCTTACTTTCGCGTTTTATTTTTAACTCGGCACGTCTGGTTCGAGAAAAAGCAGACTTTTAGTTCCACTTTGAATGTCTCGGACGTTATTCGTATGACGCGCGCTCGGTAGTGGTTTTGGAAAAGATGGCGGAGCGTTACGGGCGGCAAAAGGGCATAGCGTAATATTGTAAGTCCGTACGAAAATAAAAATAATATTCGGTTCTTTTTAAAACACACAAATGTTTGGCACATATTTTGGTATTAGCGCTTTCTTCTTAAAAAGAAAGCCAAAAAGAAGCGAAGAACTAGAAATTATTTTCAAAGTTTCTCATGTTAATTTCAATTCTATTTTTTTTTGCCTAAAACGGCTGCGAATGGTCTTAACATTAAATTAAATACAAATTTCGAAAAACCTCACATAGATGTCATATAGAATTTAAAATTAGGTTTCGAAAAATATAGCACATACATAGTTTTTACCATTTACCTACTTAACAACAAGTAGGCCCTGGACCGCGGCCATTACACAAAAATCCAGCAAGGAATTTATAGCGCGATATTGTCCTGAGCGAAAACAACCTCTTAAAGTCGTACTTCGAAGATTTCGACACAGCCTGGTTTTATTCCTTAATTTCGTAAAACTTTGCTTTTAACATACATAAACAGTACAATCAAAAAATGTCGCTTAGTGGTTCCTGCGAGTATGAAACACGATCCCCTGTGATTTTTTTTGACATTTATTTGAAGTAAAATCTAATTTCTTTAGAGCCAAAACCACAATTTGGCAACCATCAGTATGCATTCCTTCTTTAGGTTATTGTCGCAGCGTCCAAGATAACTATTAAAGAGAACTATTAAACTAGTAAAGTGTTTCTTTATAAACATACATTTTCCATAGTCCTATATTAATTCGTTGATTTTTATCATTTTGGAATATACGGGGTTGTCACTTGAAATTGGAATTGGCGCAAACTGTACTGTCTTCCTTTTCTATCTTTGTTTCTAATTATTTGACAGCATTAACGAAACTTGATATGAAGACTGATATGAACTTGTTTACTCAATATTTTATTTTTGTATTAGTAAATAAACTAGGGGAGGGTGGGGCACGTAAGCTGTTTATTATTTGGCTTTTTACCATCAAGTCGATTTATTTTTGACTAACTTTAACTAAATTAAACCAAATTTTGGGGAGGCTTCTAGCCGTCGTTCCCCACTCTTCCCTATTTATAATGTTATATATAATAATTATAAATATTTATTAAAAAAACATATTAAAGAAAAGTTACTGACATAGACATAGAATTATCCAAAAAATAACAATTTCAATAAATTAATTATGATTCGGTTATAATAATATGGAAACGCTTTTTTTGGAATTTTTAAGCCGTCCATTTTACCCCTGGTATTATACAAAGGGCTAAAAATGTACAAATAACCAGAATTTATCATTATATTAACAAAAAAAATGTTGGTTCATTTTTTCTTGCCACAGGGGGCCCACCCTCCCCTAAAAGTCATTGATATATTGGAAATACCAAACTAATTTGTGAAATAAGCAGAAAAATATATGAAAACCAAATTTCTTTTTTTTTGTTAATTCGATTCGCCGCTGAAAACTATAAATGCCCCACCACAAACCCTCAATTCCGATGCGAACTTTCTCAAATTTCGATTAAAACAAGATGGGAAATCCGCGCGACAACTTCCGGCTCCCCCGGAAAAGTTTATTTACCGCCGGAAAAATCGACGACTAGAAAAACCCATCGCGGTGAAATTAATTACGTCTTTATCTCGGCGTTTGTTTTTTGCCCGACCGCCGGCCATTAATTAAAAATTAGGCGCCCTTTTTTTTTCGACGGCCGTCCAGAACGTCGGGTAAACGTTGTGTGTGTATCGCGCCCGATCCCCCCCTTTTTTTACGCCTTTTTTTTTCGGTTTTGTTTGGCGATTCCCCCTACCCCGTTATCGCGTGAAAATTTTAAACCGCGCACGCAGACCCGGCGCGATAATTAACTGCGCCAGCGGCGTACGTCACAACATTTATACTATAAAAAAATTAATTTTGAATTTGAGTTTAAGTTTAAGTTTGAGAACATTTTCACCCTTTCAATACGACGATAAAA